CCAGTCACCCCAGGCGCTTCCGGTCAGACCATCCTGCCATACGAAACAATGCAGAGTCGAACCAACACCCTGCTAACAAAACTAACTTACAATTTGATCGAAACATCACACAACACAGTTTCGACCATGCATACACACAGAAACACAACAGACTACTACATCTCATATCATCTCTTGATTTCTGCTGGTATGTTGATACCCCACCTGAAAGAACATGCCGATGATGGCCATCATCGCAAGCCTTCCGTTAGCCAACTCCGCCGAAAGTTTTTTGGTCTTCTCAGCTGGGTCACTGGAGGTCAAGACCTTGAAGCCGAAGTCGCCCGCTGCGGCTGGGGTGCCGGGAGACTGATCCTGGGAAACCTCGCAGAAGGCCATGTACGCGAGGATCTGTCCCCAGCCTGCGGCAGGCACCTTGGAGATCGCAGCCAATCCGTTGGGCACGTCTGCGAACTTCAATCCTGCTGATGGAGACAGATAACCAGGGAACTTGCCAGTGATCCTTACCGCGCTGACGCGAAAAAAAGAAATGCTATCCTTACAACGAGCAGAGCAAACTTTGACAATACGAAACATGTCTTCAAACATCTGCCTTAACCAACACATGCTATCGAAAAAAACCTTTTGCAATATAGGCGCTCTGGAGTGATGTATCCCATCGTCGCAAGCATGGAGATGCGCCCATGCTTCAATTCGGTCTGGCGCCGGCGCTTGAAGTTCTCCACGCTGCCATCGGCGGTGAAACCTGCGGGGTCCCAGAATCCGACGGGATCCTGCACGCCGAGCTCGTTCTCGAAGGCACGCAAAGGCGATGCAGTGTAGTTGGCCCAGTCACCCCAGGCGCTTCCGGTCAGACCATCCTGCCATACGAAACAATGCAGAGTCGAACCAACACCCTGCTAACAAAACTAACTTACAATTTGATCGAAACATCACACAACACAGTTTCGACCATGCATACACACACAAACACAACAGACTACTGCATCTCATATCATCTCTTGATTTCTGCTGGTATGTTGATACCCCACCTGAAAGAACATGCCGATGATGGCCATCATCGCAAGCCTTCCGTTAGCCAACTCCGCCGAAAGTTTTTTGGTCTTCTCAGCTGGGTCACTGGAGGTCAAGACCTTGAAGCCGAAGTCGCCCGCTGCGGCTGGGGTGCCGGGAGACTGATCCTGGGAAACCTCGCAGAAGGCCATGTACGCGAGGATCTGTCCCCAGCCTGCGGCAGGCACCTTGGAGATCGCAGCCAATCCGTTGGGCACGTCTGCGAACTTCAATCCTGCTGATGGAGACAGATAACCAGGGAACTTGCCAGTGATCCTTACCGCGCTGACGCGAAAACAAGAAATGCTAGCCTTACAACGAGCAGAGCAAACTTTGACAATACGAAACATGTCTTCAAACATCTGCCTTAACCAACACCGCACATGCTATCGAAAAAAACCTTTTGCAATAAAGTCGCTCTGGAGTGATGTATCCCATCGTCGCAAGCATGGAGATGCGCCCATGCTTCAATTCGGTCTGGCGCCGGCGCTTGAAGTTCTCCACGCTGCCATCGGCGGTGAAACCTGCGGGGTCCCAGAATCCGACGGGATCCTGCACGCCGAGCTCGTTCTCGAAGGCACGCAAAGGCGATGCAGTGTAGTTGGCCCAGTCACCCCAGGCGCTTCCGGTCAGACCATCCTGCCATACGAAACAATGCAGAGTCGAACCAACACCCTGCTAACAAAACTAACTTACAATTTGATCGAAACATCACACAACACAGTTTCGACCATGCATACACACACAAACACAACAGACTACTGCATCTCATATCATCTCTTGATTTCTGCTGGTATGTTGATACCCCACCTGAAAGAACATGCCGATGATGGCCATCATCGCAAGCCTTCCGTTAGCCAACTCCGCCGAAAGTTTTTTGGTCTTCTCAGCTGGGTCACTGGAGGTCAAGACCTTGAAGCCGAAGTCGCCCGCTGCGGCTGGGGTGCCGGGAGACTGATCCTGGGAAACCTCGCAGAAGGCCATGTACGCGAGGATCTGTCCCCAGCCTGCGGCAGGCACCTTGGAGATCGCAGCCAATCCGTTGGGCACGTCTGCGAACTTCAATCCTGCTGATGGAGACAGATAACCAGGGAACTTGCCAGTGATCCTTACCGTGCTGACGCGAAAACAAGAAATGCTAGCCTTACAACGAGCAGAGCAAACTTTGACAATACGAAACATGTCTTCAAACATCTGCCTTCATCAACACCGCACATGCTATCGAAAAAAACCTTTTGCAATAAAGTCGCTCTGGAGTGATGTATCCCATCGTCGCAAGCATGGAGATGCGCCCATGCTTCAATTCGGTCTGGCGCCGGCGCTTGAAGTTCTCCACGCTGCCATCGGCGGTGAAACCTGCGGGGTCCCAGAATCCGACGGGATCCTGCACGCCGAGCTCGTTCTCAAAGGCGCTGACGACCACCTTCTCGCAAGCGTAGGCTTCTGTTATGGGGTCTGGAGTGGAGTGGCCCAAGCACTGTTGAAACTGTTCGACAGGCGACCAACGCTGAACGCTGTCAGATGACGTGATGATGTGACTGTCTAACCGAAGGCAAACTCCGAACTTCCACCCGGCGATCTTCCCCCGAACACCCTTGGCCCTCGGCACCCACCTGGGACTTTCGGCCGTAGCTGGCCTGGTCAACTTCGGTCTTCTGAGTCGGCACAGACTACCGGATTCACCCCCTGCTCGTCTGGCCAAATAACTTCAGCTGTCGCAATGATTTCGTTAAAAAGTTCGGGCTTAGTGGCTGTCGCCACCTGATCCTAGCCAATCCCAACCCATCCCCCCACCGTCGCAGTCAGTTGTCTCTGCCCGCCATGTGTCCCTTGCACTTCTCCAAAAAGCTACAACAGTAAAACTGCCAGAAACTTCCGCACTACTGCCAGCCCCGCATCCAACTTTGAATATGCAATGCACACTTCGCCGACAATTGCGGGATCACCGGATTTACCCTTAGGACAAAGCCTGAGCTGGAAACTAGGATCCTTGGAATCCTCGACGTGACCCTTCACTCACCACTTTCCTCAGCAACCCCCAACTCGACATGTCGTCACGACCTCGCTCCGCTTGCCACGAAGCTGCGCCGCTAGAAGCGCCTCCAGCCCCAATCTACCGGGATCTGAGGGGGTTGGGTCTCCGAAACCGTTGCCTCAAGTACATCGTGCACTTTGTCCACTTGACAAAGCGTCTCTTCAGCGTGTTTGAACACGGACAAGCCGGGGATCCTGCGTCTGGATCGAAGTCGGAATGCCGACACAAGTGTCTCTTGGGCTCTTTGCTGATTTGATCCCGCACCAAAGAGAGCTACAGCAAGCGCCCAAGTGAAGTTCGGAATAGTGAGCCTAAACAGCTGGACAGACTCTGTCCCAATCCAGGCAACATGAGAAGCGCCAAGTGGCTGATGCCGATGCAGCAGCTGTGCAGCCAAGAAAGCTTGGGGCACTGCTGCCTGATCGAGCCCGCACAGACTGCTTCTGACTACAGTACACGTCGTGCTTGTGACACATGGCCAAGCTCAACACAGACGCCTGGACGTCGCTCTGTGTGAAGAGATCGGCACAAGCAAAAAGCAGGCACGAACACGAACAGACTCGACTTGAGCATAGTGCCTTTGACCAGAGGTCACGTTAGAAGCTGGCTGCAAGTAATGTGATGCTGAATAATAGCCTCTAGGATGACCACCGGCACGTAACCCTTAGAACACCTGCCGGAGCTGGGCCTGAGGCAGATGTCTGGGCCGCTATTCGGCCACGCAGCTGCACGCTGCTTCTCTCGGAGACAGCCTTCACGTGACATTTCAAACTTACCCAGTCCGGCCGATTGGTTTCCGGACTTCCGGCAAGCCGCGCCGGCCTACTGAACATGGAGACGCCTCAATTCGAACCAAGCGGAGAATCAACGACTTCTCCCAACACCGCGAAACTCAAGAAGCGTCACAAGATTCAAGACTCTCCGAAGGACCAGAACCAGCACTCACCGACCCCTTAACCCAGAAAAGCTTCAGGCTGAAACGACGTTCGGTGACGGCCCTGGAGAAGCCCTCAGCTTCCGCCTGACCGGCTGGGCCGCTCTGAACAAAGGCCTCAGCTTCGCCGCTACATGCGGATCCCTCTCAATCTCGATCCTGTGAATCTATCGCTGCATGCACGCTGACCCTTGCACCCAGAACCACTACACCCGCGCACTTGCACAGATCACAGATGCCGCATGATCACTTCGCCATAAGTCCAGCAGCACACAATTTTGCTGTGCCGGGGTGCCGTGGAACTCAAGGCTGCCGCGCCAGCGGCGACAGCAAGGATGGTCTTCTGACCTGAACCCGCTTTGGATTGGATATCTAAACCAGGACCAGCACTTACAATAAGGCGCTGTTGCTGCCTGCTGCTTGGGTTGTACATTAGCTTACCAGCCTTTCGTTTCGTGCAATACAACCATCCAACCTACAGGTTATGCGAACAAGATCTGTGTTAAGAAGCACATGGGCATACCAATATTGCACGGCGTTGCTAAGGAGCCGGCTGCTGGCCATCGCGACACAATGTACAGGAATTAAAAGTTGAAAGCGATGGCGAAGCTACAGAAGGACCTTAAGAAAATCCTCGGGCGCGCATACATGCCAAGGACATCGCCGAGCACAATTAGTCCGAGCGCAGCATGTGGCAGGCATAGACTTGAACGTGGCGATGCTGCAGGATGTTGCTAAGCCTGCCTGGCTTTTGCGAGCTGCCTGCCATCCAAGTTCTGTACACTGAGGCACTTAGCGGACATAACGGAATCGCAAGGTTTTGGGGGCATGATGGGGCATGTTGAGCATCAATGCTGTCTCTAAGCTTCGAAGGGTCATGGCCGAATCCCGGTGCTAAAAGACATGTAGCATGCTAGAGTCCCAATGCTGTGATCAGAATCTTCGGAATTCCGATGCCGTGCATTCGACGGCTTTCGCTCAGGCCAAGCCGAACTGCTCGATGGCATCCTTGCCCGTGTAGATGTTGGCGGCGATGATGCCGATGGCTGCAAACATGGCCATGCGGCCGTTGTTGAGCTCCCGGTTGCGCATCTCCAGCGTGTACTGGTTCAGGCCGGCCGGGTCGCCGAAATTGCCGGGCTCTTTGGAGGGGTCCTCGGTCCAGGCGCCCAGTTCCAGCAGTCCTGCAATGGCGAAGAGTGCTGCGAAGCCATAGGTGCCCGGCGCGACTTCCACGGCACCAAGCCCCGCAGGAACGCTCTCGAAGCCAGGGAACTTCACATAGTGCTGGAAGACGGCACCAACTGCCGCCATCATGGCCACCCTGCCGTGCTTGATCTCGGCCGCGCGCAAGTTGCGGAAGCCAGCCTTGTCACCCTTCTTGCAAAAGCCGGCCGGGTCGAAGTAGCCGAAAGGCTCAGTGACGCCCACTTCGTTGGCAGGGTCGAAGCTGGGCTCCGGAGGAACGTCCTCGCCCTCGCCGCTCAACGACTTGCCAGTCCCGGCTGCGACGCCGGTGCTGGCGGCCACGCTTTTGGCTCCTGCGCTTGCGCCCGCCTTGGCAGCAGCCGCCTTGGCTGCAGCGGCCGCAGCTGCCGCAGACACAGGCTCGGCACGGAGCGGCGATGCGGTGTAGTTGGCCCAGTCACCCCACGCAGATCCTGTGAGTCCATCCTGCACCGTGTTCAGCAGACTTTATCAATAATTTTACTCACCATGAAAAGTCTATATCCAATCGAACACAACCAATGATGTCAACACACAAGCAGGATTCGTGTCATCAAGCGTGTAACGAAATGCACCTAACATCCCTGCATTCTTGCCCCCGAATCTGAATAGCATTCTTACTGCGTTATAACGAACTGACATTTTCAACATCATGTTGACATATTCGAATACGATAGCCAATGCAAACACGACTAAACTGACTAAACTTATAGGTTGAAAAAATACTCAAAGCAAAATAAATATCACAATCAGGCAGTCGTGGTACCGTGAAAACCCAAGAACAAAATGCAAACGTGCATGTTGCACTTTTGTTCGTCCACAATGATTCGTTCAATCACATTTTGGACGTACTCACTGCTTGCAAGACCGCGGGTGTTCTGAACAGCCGGCAAGCGGCCCCACAGATGACACGTCTTTGCATTGAGACGCTGACAAGTAACAGTGGCAAAACTGCCGGCCAAGTTGAGAAAAGCACCGATAATAGGGCAAGTGGAAATTGCGGAGCCACTGACATCATCAGCATACGCTCTGGGAGTGATGGCAGGAATCTCGGAATCGATGAGCCGCAGGAAATTTTCACAAGAAGGTTGAGAAGAACGACAGAGATAGGACAACCTTCGACGAGGCCGAGCCAAAGCCAGTAGGATGCTTGAAGAAGCGCACGAATCGGCTGTAAAAATTACTAAGGCAAGGGACAAGATTAAATTAAAGGGAAAACCCATCCGAGAGGCAAGCGGCAAAATAATCTCATGTAACGGGACAAGCTCAAAAGCCTTGGCATAGTCAAGCATGCAGCCTGCGAGATCAGTACCATTGATCATGGCATGTTCAACGTGCAGAGCAAGCGGGTACCATGCGTCCAAGCATGCCTTAAGCGGCCTAACCCCCTTGAGTTTTTGCCAAACTTGAGCTTGCTGCATCATCAAACGCTGTATATCATCTTTATTGGTGTGCGTGTAGAAGGAAGCCAACTTGTTGGGTTGAGTGCGTCCAACTGTGGCTTCCACGGCGTTAACCAAAATAGCAGAGAACTCGGACCCTGGCATTTTGGCAGTGGGGCCCGGGGCTGCTTCTGGCGCAGTACGGGCCGCGGAAGGCTGAGTGCTCGGCTCCTGCGACGATGTAAACGAACTTTGGGCCACATAGAACGTTCACCTTTCGCTCCACGGTCGGCGTTGCGATCTGCCGGTTCTTTGCCCGTTACGCCCGTATGCCCATAGACGTGCTTCCAATGCACGGTCCGGAGACCTGCCACTTGAGTGACAAGGTCTTGCACTGTTTGAATGAGCTGTATGTTGCTGCGGGGGCGCCATTGACCCGCCCGCTGCCATCTTGTACGCATAGACGCTGTCGTAGTGTATGGTGACTGGGCCTTTGTAGTTGGTGCCGTACAGCAAGAAGCGCACAGTCACAGGATCCATATATGTGAGTATGCTCATGCTTGGACCGGGAATCGTTGAGTAAGCTCCAGATGAACACGTCGTTGAATCTCGCCTCGATTCTTCTTGGCACCCTCTGATGGTCCCCGAAAAGCATCATAAAGAAGCGGACGAGGGATGTCACAGGCAAGAGCTGTCTCCTGTCTAATACGTGACGATTTGACGGCGCGACGATGCTTACGACCATTCGCGCCGGGCTTGGACAGGTGAAAAAAAATCTGTTTTGCATGATCTGAGAAGCCCAAGTGATGTACTCGCAGAGACTGTACCTGACGAAGAACGCGTTCGTCACAGCAGAAGTAGTCGAGCTCATACCACTTGCGCGTGCTTGGGTGTTGCCAAGTGCCACGGTTGGCAACACGAAATCTTGAATCAACAGCTTGCAACTTGGTTTGCGAAAGCCAGCGTCGTTGTTCCACAGCTGTAGGCATGGTAGGGAAGCTCAACCCAAAACAGCGACCATGTTGATCTGGATGATCATTGCCTACATGTGCATTCCAATCCCCTGTCCAGATATGAACATGATCTAGGTGGAGATCTCTGGATTGGTGCTCCCATTGTCGGGCCTGTTGGAGGACTTCCGCTCTGTGTTTGCGTTGCTCGAAAGCTTGGCCCGTGGGAATGTAAGCACAAGCGAAGGTGTAAGTGAGTCCCATCAAATCCAAATGTATGCCAAGTACATGAGAATTGGGCGATTCCCACCTGCAACCTTGTGCAATCTAGAGCTTGTAGACATGCATGGGCAATAGAAAAGCGACTCGTCCTTTGTGGAGCAGTAGAGATTCCTCTATGTGAATCATGTGGAGATTGCTAGCCGCTTCGACTTCTTTCATCTCCGACAAGGCCATCAGGTCCTATTGGTGTTTGCGATGTGAGAGAATGAGATGTTGTAGTTTGTGACGTTGTGAAAGTAGATCCCACTGAAAACTCTGAGCGCTGAACGTTGAGACACAAAACGAATTCGTCACCACCTTGCCCATGAGGGTCTGTAAGGGTGGCGATCCCTATCAAGCTTGCGTGCGCAGCGGCTGCCAGCAACGGAAACTAACTGCGGAAGGGAATGCAGTGCATGGCTGCTCGTGGGTCGAAAAGTGCCCGAAGGACGACTGCAGAATCCCCCCACGAAAGAGTCCCGTCAGTCTGTGAAGTGGCTTCGTCACAGGTTGGCCGCTCATGTCCTCAGCAACTGACTGAAGCAGGGAGCGTTACTTTCTGCGCCCTGTAGAGGCCCTGGACGTGCAGAGGAAAGAACATGCCGATGAAGGCCATCATCGCAAGCCTTCCGTTAGCCTTCTCCTCATCCGCATTGGTTGCGGCGCGCTGCACTCGAGCAAGGGGCACAGAGCGCTGGGTCGTGGCTGTGGTATCCAGAATGAGGTAAAACCCCTCTGCGAAAGACACAATGGATAGGTAGGGGATAGGGAGACCTTAACCGAAAAGGTCGGGGAAATGCGGCAGGGCATTCGATTAAACAGCACAGAGCTTCGTTACGTAGCAGGGGACTGCAGTAAGGTGGCCGAAGATTAAGAACCGTCTAAGGAAAACAACCGACGTACGGAAAGTCCTACGAAGGCAGGAACCAACCTAGATCAGCCTAGTCCAGGGAGAACTTAATAAATATGTTTTGCGACAAAATGAGACTTTTGGAGGTGAATCAAGCGTGAAGCATATCCGATGTCCGCCTGTGATAATCACCAAAATACCGGTATGGATATTCATTGCTCAGGGGGGAGCAAGGCAGTTTTGCTTGCAGAACCTGCCCAAGCGACGCCATCCATCAGCGCAAGTCTCCTTGCAAAGAAGACGACGCGGATCGCTGTCCATCGATGTGGGCACCTCCAGAAATGCTTGCCTGCATCTTTGGCAGTACTGTTGTGCTTGGCAACGCTATCTACTCTCTGCTTGAGTTTAGTGCTCATCCGGGCGCTTCCACCTGTAGTACTGCGGCCCGCCTCACCGCCGCAGGTGTCAGCGAGAAACTTTTGCAGCCGTGCAAGCGTATTGGTTTTCCAACACATGCTGCATTTCAATCAACTATCGGTATCGAAAGGTTCAAGAAAATGCTTGCTGAGTCCAAGTGCTGTTCTGTTGTGCACGATCCTCTTCTCAAGTCTTGCTCGATGACGCCAGTCTCTCGCTCCCTGTAGCTTTGCCAACTCATGCTCATCCCAAGACACGGTTTGCGCCGCAGCTTTGTGGGATCTTACGTTGCGTCTTTGGGATGCCTCAGGTACGGCAGGTTGGACAGGTTGCTTACCAAGGATACGTTTTCTTTGGAAAGGGGTCCACAAGGCTTTAGGCAAGTTTGAAGAGTCAGGTATGAATTTTTTCCTATGCGCGTCTTTAGATACACCAGCATCCAGCGCAGCATGGAACAAAATTCTGCGCACGATTTGAGGCATCAAAACAAGCGGACGCGACGGCAAGCCACCCGCCTTGCCGAATCCAAATGTAGTGACCCGATTGACTTGGAAAGATTCTTGACACGCTTGTTCGAAACGCCAGGGAAGGCAGGCTTGCCACATATTCGTTCGACTCTCTTTGCTGCATAGCAGAAAAGGTGAGCTTGCCGCTTTGCAGTGACTGTCGAGGGTTCTTCACTATGTTGGTGCAACATTACATGCGTACTCGCATGAAAGTCAATGGCCAGTTCAAGCCATGTTATGTTCTTTGCATTTGGTTCGGAAGGCCATTTGAGTGCATTAAGATACCACAGCAAGCTGGCAAACATGTCAAGCGGATAGGTCCACTCTGACGAGCCAGAGACCCGGCGCCAGTTCTCTTGGAGCTGTTGCATTGAAGAACAAGGCAAAATCGGACGTGTCCTGCAACTCATAGTTCCAAGGAAACGTGGGGAAATAACTGTCTGTTTCAGCCAAAGAAGGGTTGTGCAAATGCACATCCAGAGGCTCAGCTGGTTGTGAGGGTGCAGACTGCTCCGCCGCCGGAGCTTCAACACGTGAGTCCAGCTGAGCAGGCCCAGCCTCTTTCTTTGCAGCATCTCGGGCGGCTAGGATGGCGATCTGCATGAACTGCACATCCCTTGTAAAAGCATGTTGATGCTTGATGGCTCGCACAATGTGTTCAAGCACTGCGTGTGACTTCGCACCCTGTTTAGCCAAACCGTCAGCAACGCCGTTTCTGCGCCGGCGTTCTCTTTCTAGCGGTGTGGTACAGTCTTTGACCGAAGTATGAGCAGAAACCTCCTTAATAACCTTAAAGTTGTGGAATCCCTTTGCTTCCAAACCTTTGTTGACGCTCTGCCATAAGTCTTCACGATCACTAAGTTCCCAAGGTTCATTCGAAAGGACCTTATTTAAGGAATTAGCTACCCAATCGCTGTCGGTCCAAAGGTTGGTTCGGCTGGTCGAAGACTCGACCCAACACACCGCTGCCATCAGCTCGGCTCTCTGCGCACTCTGCGGGTGGCGTAAAAGAGGGGAGCTTATGTCCCTACAGTCTGGATTTGGCCTTGTCTGCCCCCGATGGGGCATAGTCCCAGAACCT